AGAGAGAGGGAGAGGGAGAGAGAGAGAGGGGGAGAGAGAGAGAGAGGGAGAGAGAAAGAGAGAGAGAGAGAAAAGAAGAAGAAGAAGAAGAAGAGAAGAAGAAGGAGGAGGAGGAGGAAGAGGAGATGGAGATGAAGATGAAGACAAAGAGGAAGGAGGAGGAAAATCTGTGGCAGGTTTTGAACTCAGGTTTTCCTGACTCTATGTCTAACACCCTATCCACTGTACTATCCAGCTGCCTCATAAGATACTAAGTATCAGAGCCAATAGTTGAATCTGGGTCCTTTGTATGACTTCATATCCAGTACCCATGCACAAGGTAGACGTATGGACCAGCTGAACATTTGACATATGTTTATTAAGTGTCTTCTATGAGTCAGACACTGTGCTGAGCAATAGAAACACGAAGACAAAAGTGAGATAATTCTTGCCATCCAGGAGCCTACATTCTCAAATAGGATAATATTTAGTTATATATAGTGCTTTATAACCAGAAAGGACCAGGGCAATGTGGGTCTTGAGTGTGCTAACACATTCTCTTTTCATTCAATCACTGGGTGTCTCATTTTCTCCACCTGCAGGAAAGGGAACTTCCTCCTCCCCATATCATCTATATCCTAGGACTGTTGTGATGAGGGTGCCTGGTAAAAATCATGACTCCAGAGTTCTGAGGAGAAGAGGAGAGGTGGTAGACTACAGGGGTGGAATAAGGCATTCTTTGTCAGGCATGATCAGTGGATCTGTTTGTTTCGTGAAATTGACTTTACTACAATAGGGTCGTGTGTGTGTGTGTGTGTGTGTGTGTGTGTGTGTGTGTGTGTGTGTATGTGTGTGGGTGTATAAGGGAGGATACTAAGAAATGATAACAATATCAATAAAACATAAATGAAATACACAAAAAGAAAGTGGTAAAGCAGAAAGAGCCCCCCTTCCCATAACTATTACAATTCTCATTCACATTCTCTGCACCTCCGTCCCCAGAATCTGCTCCACGATGGACGAAACAGAGATCTAGTGATCTGAGTTCCTCTGAGGAAATGCTGGTTTGTCCAGGAATTGTGATTCCCTTTGTAAAAGAATCCTTTCTATTCCCAAGCACAGGTAGTAATGATGAGTTAACATTTCGATGGTGTTTTTATTTTAAAAGCATTCTACATATACGATCTAATTTGGTCCTCACTATAGCCCTAGGGGGTACATGATATTATTACCCCCCCATTTTATAGGTAGGGAAACTGAGGTTAAGTGACTTCAATGACTTGCTCAGGGTCACATAGCTACAAAGTGTCTGGGAGAAGATTTGAAAACAGAACTTTTTAAGTCCAGAAATCAATCCATGGAATAGCAGCTTTCCTATACCTGTATAATCATAGAGAATTGTTTGAGATTCAGAAGCCTTTAGTGTCTCATCCAGGGTCATACAACCAGTATGGGTCAGAAGTAGACCTTGAATCCCATTGACCTTAAGTCCACTGGTATAGTGGACTCTATACCATGTTATCTCTATGCCATGTTATCTTTCTCTTTTGAAAATAGGCATTTTAAAGAATGATACACGGACATACTTAATATGAACCTTTACTAAATGAGGAACCCTACAAAGTCAGTACAATGGTTAACTTGGGGCTTTAGTCACAATTTCCTTAGAGTTCTTTTTTTTAAACCTGTGCTTTTACAGAGAACTACTTCTCTGGAGAACTACACAATAAAATAAACAATCAAAACTACATCTCTGAAAGGACATGACAAGAATCTGATAAACTAAATGGAAGACAGAAATGCTACAAAGGCTGCTGTAGA